TGGTCCTTCTCACTGTTGTTACACAAAATCTGGGAGTGAGGACAAGGGCTGGGTCTTTGGGATCACCTTTCTGTCCACCATCATGCTGAGCCCTGCCTAACAGGCACCCCATAAACACATAGGAAGAGTCTGGTCTTTGGAGCCTGACAATTCTGGGTTCGAAGCCCAGCTCTGCCTCTTTCTCCTGGGTGAGAAATCAGGGCTAATAGTAGCTCCCTTGAAGGGCTGGTGAGTGGAATCCATGAAGGCTTCTGTGAAGCGTTGGGCACGTGCAGAGCCTAGGTCCACCAGCACTCCCCGGCTCCTTCCAAGTGATCAGCCTGCCCGCTCTGTACTGAACACAGCTGGTATCAGACACTGGTGCCAAAGGGAGAACATCCAACCCCAGGTATCCTCAGCTCTTACCTTGGCCTCAGTTTCCAACCTGCTTCCTGGTAAGCCCCTAAGGTGAGCTTATATGCAGCAAAATGGCACAAGGACAGTGAGTGCACAGGCAGGGAATAATCTAAAGTCTGTTGAGGACCATAGTCTCAGATCTGGGTTCAAGCCTCAGCTCTGCCACTTACAGCTGAGGGACATTGGGGATAACAATAGTACCTTCCACATAGGGTTGTTAGATGTCCTTACTGATGATGGTGAAGGCAAGGTCAAATGATGGGTTTCCCAAAATGTGGTCAATGCGTCCGAGGCAATCCAGAGGGATTTCTGGTGGGACTTGGAATTTTTAATTTTAATACCTGAATTTTTTATGTTAGTAACAGATAATGTAAGCCAAGCTCAAGGCATGGCTATATCTGTTACGCAATTGCTCACTACAGAGTAATTTCAATTACTCTTATCATTGAGACATATGATTACAGGAGGGGTCATACAGAGGATGTGGTACAGGAGCACCGGCTTAGAGCCTGGCTCTCAACCTCGCCACTCCATGCCAGTGAAGAGCTCCAGCGTGCAAGTTAAGACTTTGGAATTTCAGCCCTGCCAGCACCTGACTACGTGATCTTGGATAAGTCATTTAACTTCACTGAGCCTCAATTTCCCCCTCTATAAAACGGAGCTAATAACAGCAGCCACCTCATAGATCTGTTGTGTGGATTAGATGAGTTGATACATGTGATACATGGACACAGTGAGTGAGTGTTAGCTCTGATCACTGTTTCTGTAGAAAGGGCTTCAAAGTTGCTAACTCCCAAGAGCCAACTGCAGCTGAATCGTCTCCACAGCCCAGCGTAGGGACAGACCAGCTTTATTCGATGGATAATCAGTCCTAGGATGACGAGAATGAGAAATGCCAGCCCTGGTTGCTGTCAGCGTGATGCCTACGACACTCTGGTGAGGAGCGGAGGAGGACATTTCCAAGTGCTCGTCCACAGCAACCCCATCTCCACCCCAGGGGCGGGGGGCCTACCTGCCCCGCCTGCCCTTCAAGGTGCTCCTTTGACTTCTCCCCAGCTGTGAGGGAGCCAGAATTCACCTGCCACATCCATCATCAAAGGAGGCCCAGGAATGCAGCCTGCTGGGTGAGCAAGGCCAAGGGGGAGGCAGCCTTGCAGGTCCAGGAAGCCACAGGGGATGCGGACAGGGGAAGCCATGACAACCTCCAGAGCGAGGGTGGATCCTGGACTCTGCAGACGAGAGTTTGGGGGTGGGCGTCAGGAGCCCCACTGCTTTTATCCTGGCTGGGGGTTGCCTCCCTAAGTGACCGTGTCTCTTCGCTCTCTGAGCCTGTTCAATCTTTATCATTGCTTTTACTCCTCCCCTCCACCTGCTCCCCAATAAAAGAGTATGCTGCTGACCTGTCTGAGGAAGGGTGCTTTGAAAGTCGGTCATGTCTAGCTGCTTGCTTTTCATCAAAAGGAAAATCTTTGCTCTCTGACTTCAGCAGGGTCAAAAGCTCTCGCTTGGCTGCCTGTAGCTCAAAGCATTTTCTTCACGTTTATCTTGGAGAAGGAGTCCCGGGGTGGTGCAAATGTTAACACGTTTGGCCGCTAACAGAAAGGTTGGAGGTTCAAGTCCACCCAGAGGTGCCTTGGAAGAAAAGCCTGGCATTCTAGTTCTGAAAAATCAGCCTTTGAAAACCCTGTGGAGCACAGTTCTGCTCTGACACATACATATATATAATAAAGCACATAAGGGGAACAGTTACAGAGACCGCCTAGACATATCCAAACACCCCACAGGAGTGGTTTAGGGGTTGAAGGACTTGGCACCATAGTCTTGTGAGACAACTCAGTCAATTGGCATAACAGAGTTCACAAAAACAATGTTCTACATCCTACTGTGGTGAGTAGCGTCTGGGGCCTTAAAAGCTTATGAGCAGCCATCTAAGATACAACTATTAGTCTCTTCCTGTCTGGAGCAAAAGAGAATAAAGAAAACCAAAGGCTCAAAGAAGAAACTAGTCCACAGGACTAATAGCCCACATGAACCATAGCCTCTTCTTGCTTGAGACCAAAAGAACTAGATGGTGCCCAGTTACCACTACTGACCATTCTGACCAGGGACACAAAAGAAGGTCCAGATAGAATGGGAGAAAAATGTACACTAGAACTCAAATTTCTGAAAAAGACCAGACTTACTGGACTGATAGAGACTAGAGGAACCCCCAAGACTATCACGCTAAGATACCCTTTTAACTTGGAATTGAAGCCACTCCCAGAGGTCCTTTCAGCCAAATGCTAGATTGGCTTATAAAATGAACAATATCACCTGTAAAGAGTGTCCTCCTTAAACAATCAAGTATACAAGACAAAACAGTCAATATTTACCCAAAAGCAAAGTTGAGAAGGCAAGGAGGGGCAGGGAAGCTAGAAAAATGGAAACAGAACAAACAGAATGCAAATAATGAAAATGCTGACACGTTGCTAAAATTGTAACTAATGTCGTGGAACAACTTGTCCAAAAATTGTTACATGGGAAGCTAATTTGCTGGGTGAACTTTCACCTAAAATACAATAAAATATTAAAATAAAATAAAAAAAAAGCTTGGTGCTTGGGCTTAGACAGTGACCGCTGACTGTGCCACAGGCCAAGAGCGTCACAGTTGGCAGACACTGGGTTAGAGGAGGGCCTGCAGTGATATGGTAGCCTTGAAGACTGGACTGGTAACATGAGCAGAACAAAAAGGGGGCAGAAAGGGAAAAGAAATGATATTTACTGAGCTGAGCTAGGCATTTCAGAGACCCTCTGATTGGCACCATTCATTCAAGCTAATATTTTCTGAGCACCTACTCTGTGCCAAGGGCTGCCATAGCTGTTATGAGGACGGCACAGTGAGTCCTGGCTCCCAAGTGCTCACAGGTTAGTGGGGAGACAGTCAGGAGACCTGAGTTCCAGCTTGCCTTGGCCACAGATTCACCCTGAGGCTTCTGGTGCCTCAGTTTCCACATCTGTCCAAAGGAGGGAAGAATCAAAGAAGGCAATGGATCTGCAAGCAGCTGGGTGATTACAAGCACCACACACTTCAGGGTGTCATGAAAGGGGAGGCCCCCTCCCGGAGGCAAATCAACAACAAGATAATGAGGACATGGAGACACTCACCAGGGACTGCATTTGGGAGACAGCCACTTCACCGGGAGGGGAGCATCCAAGAGAGTGAGCCAGGGCGCCAGCCCAAGGGGAGGGCAGCGCGCATGGGTCCTGGGATTTTACTGCCCACGCGCCGAAATTCCATCTGTCACACGTTTGGCAGATCAAATAGCTGAACAGCCGCCATTTACAAAGCAAAATCAACCGGCTTGGCGTTTTGATGCCAAGAAGAGGGAATTCTAGAGGATTCCATGAATCATAAGTTTTTTGGGGGGAAGGGGAAGGGGGATTAAAGGAATTAATATACGTATTTGTTGCAGGTATAATCAGAATATGTGGAAGCAGTTACAGGGAATAGAGGTTAGAGTGTGACAAACTCCCAGTTATCCCTCAGAATCCTGCCCTGGTGTCCTCTGTGAACCTTCCCTGAGCAATGCAGATACAGCTGTTTCAGCGCCATGCCATGCCTTCATTACTACCTGTATCATTCTGTACTTTATCCTTTCATTTCTCTAGATTTTTACTCCCTGAGGTCAGGGACACTGCATCTTGCTTCAGTAAACCTTGGTTTCCCTGAACTGAACTGACTGAAGTTTGAAAGAAGAATGGCTTTGATATGTTGAAACTCATGACAGTCTATCCCTGTTTTTCATTCATTCATTCATTCAAACAAAATTTTTTGAGCTCCTATTCATTCTGTTTTGGTGAATCTTAGTCTGTAAATCTTAGAGAAATTCAATTCATTACAATGCTGAATTTAACTTGGGAAAAACAGGGAGGAAATGAATGGATGGTGATAGCAATGTTCTTAGGATGGTGAAAACCAGGGTGATTATTTTCCCCTCAATTTTTTGACTCTTTCCTAATGTAGTTCTTTGACGCGTATAATGGAAAAATTCATACCATATAGGAATACTGTATTTAAAAATGAAGATTTCACTCGTTATGAGAAAAGGTTATTTCCCTCCCCGTGGACAATAAATCTGTCTGCCATTCTATTAAAGCTTACTTAGAGCTGTAGTGTGAGCAAGGCATTAAGTGACACCAATGTCTGTGAGGCCTCTCTGTGCCAGCTGTCTTCCTTCCCCTCCATTCCAAAATCTTCAAGCTGAATATTTCAAGAGGCTGTTTTGAATACTGGTATCATTCAGCACTGCTGGACTTCTGTAACCTGGTCATTTTCCAGAATGTTCCATACTGTCAATATTGCCTGGCTTCCTGGAAAACTGAGAGGATGGGCAGGAATTAGCTAGAGACCTTCCTGCTGGGGAAGAAAAAATCCCCGCTATGCTGAAAGTGAGGCAATGTGGTCTGGCGAAATAGAACCCGGCTTCAGGATGACTCCATTGGCCCTGCCACCCAGTTGCTTTCTTGGACTCAGGACCAGGAAGAGGTCTACTGAGTATATACTACACGGAGTGATGTAACAGCAGGACCGAGTCACTCATAAGACCAAGTCCCTCACAGTCCCAGTCATAAATTAGCTAACTGTCCCCAAACAGGGACACTCCCTTTGGAAACAAAAAAAGAAACCTTTATGCAAAAAAGGCTCCCTGGATGGCACTGGGTGGGTATAAATACTTCTTAGCTGCCAGCGTGGTCATAACTTTGCATTGAGTTGAAGACTGAGGCTCTGGCACCAGAGAAGTCAGCATCTCTGATTTGAAACCTCCCAGCCAGCCCTGGTGAGGTGACTGAGAAGTTCCAGTTGGTCCTGAGCTCTGCGGTGCAAGCTTATCCCCCGCCAGCTTGCTCATTTCTATCCTGCGGCAGCACGGCCAGCTGCCAAGGTGAGTGGTCCTCATTTCTGGGGAAGCTGCTGTTTTGAGAGGGTGCTGCTTCTTTCTGTCTGGGAAAACTCAGAAAAGCTGAGGGAATTTTTTTGCCCATAGAGAGAAGCTGGTGGAAAGCATAGGTGCAGAGATGCCAACATAAGGTTAGACCATTTGAAAAGGGCATCTTGTTCAGATTTCTTCTCTTCCAATAACTGCTGTGGTTGTCATATATTACAAGGGAAAACCTTCTGGAAAATTCAGAACAGACAGAGAGAAGTATTTACTAGAATTTTACATAGATTATCTTACCTAGTCCTTATCACATCCCCTCTTAATGAAACAAATTCTGTTAAGATGGATATTATGAAACCCATTTTGTGCATGGAGAAGCACGTTTCAGTTAAATAACTTGATCCAGGGCATGTACTAGTAGAGCTAGGATTTGAACCCAGGTCTGTGTGACTCTAAAATTCTTACATGAGCAACATCGCCACATTGCCTCCCAACGCCAAGGGTTTCTTTCCAGGGAGGAGGTTTGCTGTGGGCAAGCTCAGACCAGAACTGGGTCCCCTCTTAGGTCTCCATTTATTACCTTTTATTAAAGGAAATTATTTCAAATATTGAGAGTTGAGTGCATTGTTTCACAAATAATAATTCATAAAAAAGGAGCAGGTGGTACTACTGGCTTAGGATGAACAACAATTGCAAAAGCTTAAAAGAAAAGCAGTACAACTTGAGTGCTTTCTCTTCTAATAACAGGCATAAAACTATAATTGCTAATTAGAGGTACAGAGTTCCTGGGTGGTGAAACCCGTTCACACACTAGGCTGTAACTAAAAGGGTGGAGGTTTGAGTCTACCCAGAGGCACCTCGGAAGAAAGCCCTGGCCATCTGCTTTTGAAAAATTAGCCATTGAAAAGCCCGTGGAGCTCAGTTCTACTGTGACACGCATGGGGCACCATGAGTCAGAGTTGACTCAACAGCAACTGGTTTTAGTCAGAGGTGCTAGAAATGATGGTTACAGGGACAGGAAGATGAACGCATGTTTCATCGACCACCGGGCTTCCCTCTAACCTTGCCTCGGGCCAGTGATGAAGCTTGCTCAGGGTCAGGTTGTCCAGCAGGTTCCATTAAAGAGGCTCACTGGGTGTATACGTCCTTGTTGAATGGTGATGTTACAGGTCCAGTGTTTTTCTGTTGGACTGTTATCTGACTTTGTAGAATTGAAGTCTATGTCCATAAACCAAAAAACCAAACTCATTGCCGTCGAGTTGATTCTGACTTATAGCGACCTTATAGGACAGTAGAACTGCCCATAAGGTTTCCAAAGAGTGGCTGGTGGATTCGAACCGCCGACGTTTTGGTTAGCAACTGAGCTCTTAACCACTGCGCCACCAGGGCTCCGTAGGGCCCCCAAACCCAACCCCAAAATAGGAGCAGAGGTTGCAAAGCATTGATGAAGGGGCTGTTCAAGGCTTACGTTAGTTTTCGTATTGATTCTTTAATAAGCTAACCATCTTGAGGAGGACCAGTTCTGAAAACTCTTCCTCAACCTTCCATATCGGTCTCTCCTTCCCCTTCTCAGCCTCACACCAAGGAGCATCTGAGTTTAAATCCAAATAAGTGACCTGCTTTGCAAAGCTGCAAAGATGACATGTCCCTGGAAGTTTCTGTTCAAGGCCAAATCCTCCCAGTATGACTTGTTTGAGAAAAAGGACATCAACAACAACGTGGGAACAACCATCTATACAACCTCCAGGTAAGCTTTTCCCTGCTGCCACTTCTTGTTCTCCTCGCCTCGACTTCCCTTCCTCCCTCTGCTCCACTGACTCAGAGTTCCTCCCTCTGCTCCTGGCCTCTGACATGAGGTCTCATCTCTCCAATTGCTTTCTGGTTGTCCCTGTTGGAGTTTAATGCAGCCACTATTTATTGGATGCCTCACTGTTTGTGGCACTTTGTGAAGAAGGAAGATACATGTCACAGTCCTGGTCCTCAAGGCGCTTGGAATCTTTGGAGAAGAATGTGGGCAGAGACCTGATGTGAGAATGGGAAGCTGTAGGGTCTAGCGGTTAGAACCAGGATGGGATCCTGGCTTCTGTCCTGATTCACCAGTGCCCCTGCCTCACCAGTTGCTAGACATTTTGAACATCATCCTGATGAAGAGTACCAGGATGTGAGTTAGAAAAACTGGATTTGAGCCCTGTGCTGTGCTTTACTAGCTGACTCTGCGTTGTCTCTCACCAGCTGTGTGACCTCGGGTGACTTATCCTCTCTGAGCCTCAGATGTTCTCATCTGCAGTGGTATCCACCTCATAGCATGTTGAGGAGTAAATGAGAGTGTGTATGTAAAGCACCCACTGTAGACACTGGGGAAATGTCAGCGTTTATTATAATCTCTTGAGCACTCACTCTGTCCTAGGGCCATGCAGGGCACTGCGCATGTATTGCATCTCAGTGCATCTTTACGGCGGCTCTGTGAAGTGCATATTATTGGTTGATTTTACAGACGAGGAAGTAGGAGCTCTGGGAGAGCAATGGCTTCCCCAAGATCACGTGACTGGTAATTACAGAACTATAATTGGAACCCAAAGTTCAGCCTCTTCATGCTCCCTGATGCCTGGCTTGTAGGAGAGGCAAGCCTTAGGTGGGGCTGAGAGAATGAGTCAATCAACTCATCAGTCAGTGGGCAGGTTTCCAGACAACACTAAGGAGGAGTTCACATTCTCTATCGGAGGTTGGGTCTTGCTCAGGTGGAAACACAAGTCAATCAGTAACAACATGACAGCGCGAATCAAACCAAAGCCCAGTCTGTCAGGGCCACTGTGCTGGCCTCAGAGTTCCAGAGAAGACCTTCCCATCAACTATGGTGGGAAGGGCGCCCCCGGTGTTGGGGAGTACGGCAACCTTGAGTGTACCTGTCATAGTAAAATAGTGTAATGGCTAAGAGTATGGGCTTGGGGATAACCAAATGGCTTTGCCACTTAATAGCTCTGTGACTTTTGGCAAGTCCTCTAGCCTCTGAGCCTCAGTTTCCTCATCGGCAAGAAAAAAAAAAAAAAAACTGTTGCCGTCAAGTCGATTCTGATTCATAGTGACCCTATAGAACAGAGTAGAACTGCCCCATAGAGTTTCCCAGGAGCAGCTGGTGGATTTGAACTGCCAGCCTTATGGTTAGCAGCCATTGCTCTTAACACGGCACCTGGGTTGTGATAAGACCTAAATGAGCTTCTGTATGTAAATAGCTTAGCACAGTTCCAGATGCAGAGTAAGTGTTCAATAAACAGCATCTGCCGTAATTGTCTCATTGTTATTGTTGGCAGCTGGGATGGGATTGAGCAATGTTAAACAGCGTCCTCTACAAGGGCTTTGTAGAAGTGATGTGGACTTTGTGGACTTTGAAGAGTGGGTTGAATGTGGGGAGGTGAAGGGAAGTAGCAAAGACGTTCCAGGAAAGGCGCGTAGGGTGAGCAGACTCAGAGGCAGAATCCAGTATGACTGTGCATGGCCAGGGTGGGGTGAGGGGTGGTAGGCTGGGAGCTGGGATTGAAAGGTTTGACTGCGGGGGAGGGGATTTTGACTTTCACTGCTAGGCAGTGGGGAGCCATTGCAGATTCTTGAGCAAGACAGTCCAGGCATGGGGGGTGGGATGAACTGCAGGAGTGTTTGAAACCAGGCAGGTGGGGCTATGGTTGCTGAGGTGGTCAACAGACCAAGAGATGAGAACGCAGGGTCGGATGGCCGCTGGATGTCTTGCTGGCACCTCAGACTCAAAATGCTGCAGACTGACCGTGGCTTCATCATTCCTCCTGGTGTATCAAATGGGCCTGATCCCCACGCCTGAGTCCGAGTCTTGACCCTTCTCAGAGTCAGTCACCAAGTCCCACATCTCTTTCTTCCCTCTACCTCCTTGCTGCAGCCCCTGCTAGCTAGCCTCTCCAGCTCTAGGTGCTGGCTCTTTCCTCTCTTCCTCCAACTTGACTGTCAGCAAGTCATGCTCCTTCTCTAGAGACTGCAGTGGCTCCCCCATTGCCTGCCACCACACCGAGACTCTACTGCAGGGCTCTGTATGATCACTCTCCTCAGACAGAGGGCATCCCACCTGCCCAGCCTAGCTATGCTCAGTTTCCCAGCGCCTGTACAGCATGTTCCTCACCTCATCTCATCCTGACCCCATCCATTCTTCATCTTTTGAGATCATCCTGAATCTCTTTTCTCCCTGAGCCTTTACAGTGTGGCCCACAGCCTTTAGTCCTTAATCCCACACCCTCTAATAGCATTGCTGGTCTTCCTGAGGACCAACTTGTCTCTTTGGACCATCCAGGTCTAAACTTCCCCATTATATGGGCTCTCCCTGAGGGCCTACTACGTGCTGGACTGTAAAATGGACAGTGAAAAGAGACCTAGTTCCTGTTGTCAGAGAGGAAATGGGGTAAATGACACCCACCTCACAGGTTTGGGGAGAAGGACAGGAAGAATGAAATTCGAAAGAGCTTTATACACTGATGGGGTAGGGGGTGGCAGGTAGGTGACAAGAGACTGTGGGTTCAGTGGGCAGGATGATAGAAGTCCTGGGGAGACTGCAGAGGTGCACAGCCCAGCTGTAGTGTGGGGAAGGGTGGCATGGGAGAAGGCTTTTGGGAGGAGGTCAGCCCAGCTGGACTTTGATAATACAGTCAGAGGGGGGGCAGGGAGGGTGTTACTGGAAGAGGAAGCAGAAGTACAAAGGGGATTTTATGCTGAAAGCAATGGGGAGCCAATTAATGCATTTTGATCTTAAAAAGCAGTTTTCAGATCCATTTAGGTCTAATAAGACCAAAAACCTATTATATGTGCTTGATGAATCCATGTTCTATGTAAACAAACGATAAAGAAGTGGTGTGTGTGTGTGTGTGTGTGTGTGTGTTTTACAAACAGACAGATGTGGGAACATCTAGATGGAGAAGTGGGGAATTTGGAACAAAGTTGAGTTACATGTTGCCAGCTGGGCGGCAATTGGCTCAGAATAAACAGGTACCCTCTTTAATTCATCTTCGGTTTGGGTTTGGGATTAAATATGCCAGAATATGACCAGGAGGGAGCCTGCACTCTGAGGTCGAGGGTGGCACCACGGTCCTTATCTGGACCCTCAGTATCACCCTGCTCGGAAAGTAAGAAGCAAGTTACAGATGGAGCAAAGTCAGGAGTCCCTGGCATCTTCAGGTAGTAAGGACTAAGGGGCTAGGAGGGATCTGAGGGGGCTTCTGGTCCACCCATCCCGTGTCTCCAATCAAAATGTCACCCCTGGCCGTGGGCAGAGGAGCAGAGGTCCTGCACTTTCTTTGGCTTCCTTTGTGGAATCACACAGAACACACAGAAAAGAAATAGCCCTTCTTGGGGCAGCCCTGTGAGGTGGAGAGAGCTTGGCTTGTGGCCTTGGGCAGTCCTGAGGCTGCTGTGTGGCCTTGGGCAAGATCCCTAATCCCTCTGGGCCCCAGCTTCCTCCTCACTAAAATGAGGATAATCATATATAACTGTCTTCCTGACCGGGTTTAGCAAAGAGTAGATGAAATAACGGACAGGAAGGTTTGCTTTGTAAACAATAAAGCATTGTACAATGGGAGTTATTATTATGATCATTGCTATTTCACAGGGAACAAACATACCCGAGGCCGTACATCCCCCAGGCTCTTAGGCCGGAGAAAGCCCAGTGGTATCAAACAGCAAACTTCCCAGCGACCGCCCACTGGGGGCCCCTGGGTGTGGGGGCTCACCCCAGATAGCACCGAGGAAAGAGTAGGCGCGGGAGGAAGGGCGGCCGGCCAGTGACGAGGTGGCTGCCTGCAGGGCAGACACCCCGGACGCGACGTGAAGCTAAGTCCGTGCAGCTGCTCGGGCTCGCCCCGCCC